GCCGCAGGAGCGGCTGCTGCTCCGCCAGGCGGTAGCTGATGGGCGCGGCGGGCGGCAGCGACACGGCATGCGCAGAGTTGGGCGACGTGATCTCGAAGGTCGGCACCTGCGTGGCCAGCGAGTAGTGGAAGTCCACGGGCGAGAGGCGCGCGGGCGTGGTCAAGGCCGACACGTACCTACGGGAGAGACAGAAGCGTGGATCGGGGAATCTGGTTGTAGGGCCAGAGATTCCAACCGGAAAGGACCCAGCCCTAAGAGTGAAGGCTGTGGCTCTGACCTCGTTCAGTTTCCGCGATCCCTCTCAGCCTGCATAGTTAACTATAGTGTTTACTCCAGAGTGATGCTGGGCGATTTCAGAAATAGTCTAGGGTAGTACCCTAGCCCAGTGTCTACCCTTCACTAAGCATCTCTGTAAGTGGTCATTTGCTGTGGGGATGGATGCTCATTCGCCGGGGCACGCTCACCTTGAGGTGCTTTATATGTGGGCTCATCTGTTCTGGAGACTCTACAGGTGAGGACCATACTACACACAGGAAAAAGAGACTCAGACATTTAAGTGTCAAGGACGTAATGACCAAGATGTGGCCCGATCTATTCTTTCTGAATCAACTGACTCCCTCCTCCCCGTTTCACCAAGACACCAGTAGGTGTCTCTTCTTGGAGCCAAGGACTCCCAGGTCTACCAAGGCCTGTTTTTGCTAATACCTCCCAGTGTGAATCCTGGGTACCTATCCCTGGGATTTGAATGCGGTTTAGGCAGAAACTAGTAAGGCTACTTTGAGGAACTACTACCCACCATTCAGAGTCTCCTTGGATTTGAGCTCAACAGCCTTTGCACGAACGGCTTAGCCCAAGGCTTGGCTTGAGAGAGGGAAATCCCAAAAGCTGCCACAGGGAAGTGGACACTGGGTGGGCTCCTCAAGCCAGAGCAGATAATACCAAAATAAGACGGGTCTTTATTTCCCTTACTTTCTTGAAAAGTTTGCTTTTGCTAATATATCTCCAGATTACGGTTTTGCTCTTCACAGTCTACCTTGTGAGCCTTCAGCCTCCACCATTATCCATACTCCATTACAAGGCTCACTCACCGCCATGCCTTTCTTCCAGACTACATTCCATGTTTCTGACTGCGCTCTGGAACTGCCTTAGTGTCCTTCCTATTTTCTTATGGAATCAGGAATCAGTTGCCTGCTCACTTCCCTTTCCCACATGCAGAACTATTTAACTGCTGGGTGCCACCCACTCCTCTCCTGAGGCACACTCTCCAGTCATGCCACCACCTTGGGGTCTCTTTACTCTAGGAAGTTCCCAGAGCAAACAAAACAACTCCCCTGCCCTTTCCAACCAAAACCAAGCCAACCAAACAAATCAAACCTCAGCTCTGCTAAGGATGCCCTTCCTATTTACCCAGTAGGCTCTACCTCCCAAGCAAGCAGAAGCCAAGGGCCCTTGGTGTATCTGTGTCCCCAACCTGCCTGCTGAACTCCGTGACTTCTCACAGCCCACCCTACTTCTCTTAAGTGTGCTTTTAAGTGTTTCTGTTAGAACAGCTGCAGCGATACACCACATCCGAAAAACTTTCCTTCCCCATCTCCCTGCCGAGGGTCTTCCCCCACCTAGTGCCTGGGTTACCACTGAAGACAACAGAGACAGGTGTGAATGAGGCAGAACTCTGTACATTTTCTTAGGGTCTTTTACGAGCCTCGTGTATAGCAGGTATTGTTTCCTCCTGTCTACACTGAAGGAACAAATTTTGAGGCGGAGGGCTGGGCTTGGAGAGGAAAATCTGGGTGCTTCTTGGAACCGGTAGTTGGAGCAGGTTTCTCTGCCCTGGGGTTGTGTCTGTGCTTAGTGCATGTAAAAACTGCTCAGGAGTCAGTGGTTTGTCCCTCGCTTGGAATAAGAGCAGGTAGGTCATCTCTGGGTATGCTTCATTAGCCCAGGCCTGGCATAGAGTCATTTGAATTGCTCCCCATCCTGAGCCTCCCCTGCTGTGATGTACCCTCTGTTTTCCTCTCACAGACCTAGCTTGCCTGGCAGTGCTGGAAAACCCTTTAGGGTGGGGCCTCCTTCCCAGGACTCCTGGTGTGGAGTCAGGGAAGAAGGGAATTTCCTTAGTTGTGTGTGTGTGTGTGTGTGTGTGTGAGAGAGAGAGAGAGAGAGAGAGAGAGAGAGAGAGAGAGAGAGAGAGAGAAAACGTGTATGGAGGTCAGAGGACAACCTGTAGGCATTGACTCTCTCCTTCCACTTTGTGAGTTCTAGGAATTAAACAGACTGCCAGGCTTGGGCAAGCTTATTTGCCACTGAGCAACCTTGCCAGCCTCGGGGAAAAAGAAATGTCCTGGTTCTTACTTCATGGGTTTCTCAGGATCCCAGCCATACCTTTGGGCACAGGAATCTTGATGCTGATGCTGACAGCCTAAGATCACCCTTGGCTTATGTCCCTGCCCTCCAGTGAGTACCCTTGAAAAAACCTCTTTTCCTAGCTTCTAGTTTCCTTGGTGTTGGCATCTTTCTGTTTCTGCTGAGATGTGGGGTCTTTAGGTGATACTGGGAACCAGACAACCTTGGGTCTTGGGTGTATGGAACAACCCTGTTTGTCCCTGATGCTTCAGTATAGTTGTTAATGTTCGCTAATGGGACAAACTATGTGGTCACTCCAGCCAGGACCCATTGAGCTAGATGCAATTCTAATCCCAGGAGCCCACCCAACCTTTCTGGGACCTTGTTTGAGGCTGTTGGTGATGCTTCTGAGGCACCCTAAGGATCAGCTTTGGGCTGGGAGTGGCAACTTTCTAGCCAAGGTGGGGCTCAGTCAAGGGGTAGTAGAAACTGACCTCTCACTGTGCGGAGAGTCACGCAGGGAGTCTATGGAGTCGTGGTAGGGTGGCACAGCAGCCCTGCGCCGCTCCTCCTGGCTGTAGGCCGCTGCCCTCCGCGCTCGCGCCTCCACACAGGCTGGGCTGTTGCACTTGCTGGTGCCCACTGATGACAGCATGATGCCTGACTGGGAGTCCGAGGTCAGGCTCTCCGAACGTTCCAGGCTCCACGTGTGGCTCTCATGTCTGGGAAAACCAGATGGAGTGAGCTGATAGGTCAGGGAGGACAGGCAGTCCTAGTGCAGGTGTGAGGTCCCATAGCCACCCTGCTCTTAGTTCTTCATCTCCTCTGTGGCTCCCTTAGAGCCCTGTCCTCTCTGCTCTGATGATGTGGAGTTCCACAGATGTTCAACCCTGATAATGGGAGAAGGAAGGCTGGGGTCCTGTGGTTGGTGAGTTGTAGCGGCTCCTTCCTTTACTCTTGCCACTAACATCCCCCAGCTGGGACACTGCCACCCCCATGTTCTTTAGCCATTCCTCAGGATCCCAGCGTCAGTGGCCAGTATGCAAAGGCTCTGACTATTGCATGGAGCTCTCCACGGAAGGAGGGACCAGCCTTGTTATTTTTCTAGCTGTAGGAACTATTGTGCTTGTGCGGGCACAAGGTTGCCCCAGTACTGGAGAGTCAGGTGGACTGTGATCGGTATGCAAACACAAGGGGAGATATCAACTAGCTGTGGGCGATTGAATGACAAAGTACAGGAGTCAGCAGGATTCTGTGGGCCCTACTGCCGCTCACCTGTGGCTGGAGGTGGGCGTGGCTGTGGAGCAGTGGTGAGAAGGTGAGCAGGAGTGGCTCCCAGAGAATGTGGTCTCAGTTTCCCTCCGGATCACATGGTCTGTGGCTGGCACATTTTTGGAGATGTACTGGAAGGGACAGAAAGTTGGGAGGAGTTAGCGATGGAGACTAGATAGGCTCCCTTTCCGAGTGGGGGAGCAAGTGATGAGCACCGAGCTCTAGGTTAAAGGGTGACCCCCTGGGTGAGATGTGACTTGATGGTGGATCAGTGATGGCCCCCACAACCAATCCCCCTCCCCCCCCCCCATTCTTCCTTATGGAAATGAACAGAGTAAAGCCAGGCCCTTGGTGTTTGGTCCCTGGCCCATCCTTGCAGCCAGAGAAGGTTGCTATCCAGCGAGCTAAGAGGGGGTCAGGTCTGGGAACACCACTCACATCAGCCATCTGGATCTCCTCAGGGTCCAGCCGAGGGTGGCTGGGCCCGTTGGCCAGGCTCCGGTTCTGGTGGGCTGGACACATGTTCTGTCGGAGATGGTTATGCATCTGTCTCCGCTGTTTTCTACACAGGGGAAGGATAGGTGAGCCTAGCATGGCTCCCCCAAAGGGACGGAACTCCCTGGCTGTCCTTCCAGGGAGACTGGGCAATGCACAGAACCTCTCGCTTTGTACTGTGTGGCAAAGTTCTGGGGTTCATGAAAATATTTTTTCTTTTTTTTTTTTAATGAAGATATTTTTTCTGCCTCCATCTATAATGTAGAACCCCTTACTATCCCAAAGATCACTGACAACAGAAAGCCCGTAAATGACTCTCACACCGCACTAGCCCCTCCCTCCCTCATTTGTTTAGTAATTGTTATTGGGTTTTTACTGTGCTCCAGATTCTGCTTTGGAACAGATGAGGTAAACATGCTCTGTGCTTCATGCAGCCTGGGGCCGGGAAGGGAGGTGGATAGTAAATAACACGTAAATGAATGGTCATTTCCAGGGAAGTTTTATAAAGAAGATAAAACAGAATGCTATGATTCAAGAGCCAGGCCAGTAGGACTCCCATATACTGACACATAATAAATGCTCAGTAAATTGTTTTATCATATACAACTGTAATTATCACTCCTATGGCTCTAACTCTCCCTGCTCGTCAGTGTCCCATTTTTCTCCCCAGGCTTGCCTCTTGCTGCCTCCCTCCACCCAGCTTGCTGCTTCCTGGGACAGCCAGCTTCTGGTCCTGTACAGCATTCTGCCCTACACTCCAGCCTCTCCACCAGCTGTGTCTTCTCTCCTTAGGCCCTAGCCTGAAGGCCACTTCATAGGGAAAGTCCTTCTGCTCTCCAGATGAGGAGAGGGGCTTCAAAAACGTGTCTTGGTGGCAAAGATGAAGTGGAGGCAGGGAGATCTCTGCGGATCCCAGGGCAGTCAGGGCTGTGTAGTGAGACCCTGCTTCCAAAGAAACAGCAGCAAAAAGTCCCAAACCAAACATGCCCTGGGGCCACTTGCTTGGAGCCTGGTTTTGCCCCTGGGGCTGGGCCTAGGGTCAGCATCGGCTGAAAGTTTAGAGCAGTGAGGAGGAAAGGCAGCCGTCAGAACTGGCGCTTCTTTCTTCAGTTCCCGGACTCTACTTCTTTGGCCCAGTCCTACCCCCTCCTTCCTTCCCCCCCTTTCTAGTTCTGGTTCCATCCAAGATGAGGTCAGCAGGACCGTCAGCCCCATCTGTAGGGCAGCAGGAGTCCAAACCCATAGACTCAGCTTCTGAAATGGTAACTGTCTAGGCTCACTTTCCAGATCTGAACAAATGTTGCATCACCCCGTCCTTCGTTGGCTCCACACCACCTGAAGTCTCACATCAAGGTTTTATGGAGGCACCTAAATCCCAGATATCTTTAGTTTCTGCCCACTCTTTCTGATCCTGCCTTTTTGCTCTGAGCGGTCTGGGCTGCCCTCTCTGGCTTGTCTTTCAGTTTGCCCTCTTCTCCATGACCTTCCCAGCTTTCCCAGCTGCTGCCCCAACCTGCCCTGAGATAGCGCAATTGCTCCAGGTCCTATGGGAGATAGGAGAGCTGGGTTTGAACCAAGACTTTCCCTGTGCCTGGCCATGGAGCTACAGCCGCAGAGGCCCCAAGACTACTGGGAACAGGAAGTTGTAGGCTCCCAGGCGGGGCAGAGTAGGTACAGGGAAAAAGTTCTGTTCTCACAAAAACATAATGGAGGCTACCCCCTGGCTTGGTCTGTTCTCGGCTTGAGCATATAACACTCACTTGGTCTTGCAGTAGGCGACCACACAGACGATGCCCACGACCAGCAGAGCCACACAGATGCCAGTAATTGTCAGGACTCTCTTCTGGTACAGCTCCTCAGCCTCTGCAGGGGCAGAGCAGGAACAGAGCCCATGGAGATGCTTGTTGTATATGACCTCCCTATTCCCAAGCTGTGGGCTCCCTCAGCATGGGCTCTGTCTCCTCCTGCCATCCCTTCTCCTTGCCTCCCCTCAGATTCCCCCTACACCTGGTCACCCCTCCCCAAGCCCCATATCTGCCCAGTGCACATGAGTGGAAAATGCAGGGGATGGAGGAGGGGATGGAGTAGGGGTGAAGTTCCAAGGCCACAGTAGAGGGGAGGCAACACCTTGACCAGCACCCCTGCCCTGCTCATGGCAGACCAGCAGAGGGTTGTTCCTCATGGCAATGAACAGAGGCCCAGGGCAAAGGCCTTGCTCAGGCACCCCGATTCCATAAGAAGGGTGGTGATAGGATAGCAGGCCCAGATTTAGGAGGGGTGCTAGGGCCAGGAGCAGGAACACAGCATATTGGGCCTAGAGGGGGTGTGGAAAGAAAGGCCTTTCTCCATTCTCACAGTCTGGTCAGGGTAGTGCCTTGGCTCACTGGACCTTGTTGTCCACTGGAGAGGCCTACCAGGGACAGCACAGCTCCACCCAGCATGCAGGGATGTCGTGTGCCCAAGGAGCAGGCCCCACCTTCACTAATGAGCTGGGTGAGGCTGAGCCCAACTGTTCACCTTCCCTCTGTGCCTGGTATGGCCACCCCTGCCCCTCTAAAACAGAGAAAGCCAGGAGGAAGACAAGGAAAAGGCAACAACACTGGCTACAGCCAAGGCCACATCTCAGCGAGCCCACCTTACTCAGACCTGCTGGCTGGTACTGCCACCTTCTCTGCTACCAGTTCAGTGATAAGTAGAGGCAGGCCCTCTGTGATTGGCAGAGCTCTGAGAACTGTCCCTGATCTCTCAGATTTATGTCACCTCCTGTGTACACCAGCAACCTCAGAGCTACAAACCCTCTGGACACCCACATATTCAAGCTATGGCTCCTGGAGACACAGACACTCATACATGTGAATCTGCACACACAACTGACCACATGCCCCAGAAATGGGTATACATGCATGCCCAAGCACACTGAGTTACATTCAGGCAGAGTTTAAACAATCTCTGCCCACTGAGCTTTACTCTGTTCATCTACCAGGTCTCCCCAGTCAGTGTCTCCATCACTTCCTGGAGACCACTCTGCTCATGGTTATAGACAGCTTCCACTGGCTGGACTGTGGTGGTGGCAGTGCACACCTTTAATCCCAGCACTCAGGAGGCAGAGGCAGGCGAATCTCTGTGAGTTCGAGGCCAGCCTGGTCTACAGAGTGAGTTTCAAGACAGGTTCCATAGCTACACAGAGAAACCCTGTCTCAAAACAAAACAAAACAGCTTCCACATTATCAAGTCCTGGCACTTGGCCTGGTGCCCTGGAACTTTGGTGGTGAACTGCTCCTCGGTGGCTTGACTTTTCTGCAGTGGCTGCTTCTTTCTTTTAACCTATGCCAAGCAAACCAAGACTCCCAGACCTTTTTCTTTTTTCCACTCTTTCTTGGCACCATCTAGATAGACTTTCAGTCCTATGGGTATGCATTCCCCATTTCTATCTCCTGCCCTGATTTCTCCCTGCTTCTCGGCTCAGATCTATGAGCCATGACCAGCCAAACTACTGGTCAGTCGAAACCCCAGTAGCCTAGATTTCTCCATACCTGCCTGCCCATATCATTAGCAAGGCTTCTCCACCTGCCGCTCCCCCTCTTCCCACCTCCCTGGTCCATCCAAAAGTCATCTCAGCGTTGCTTTTCAGGTAAGTCATGGATCTGACCAGTGAGCATTTTCACTATTGCCTCTGTAGTCCAGGAGGGGGCCCTCCTCAACTAGAGATGGCCACCTTCTGGCAGGCCTTTCTGCTTGCACTTCTAATCCTGACTCATCCCCATGCTCCGCAGATACCAGCAATAACGAAGCTCATTCTAGTCCGCTGCTGCTTAGAAACACAATGGCTTCTCATTGCAAGCATAAAAATCAAGGGCTTCCTGTATTTTCAAGGCCCCTGATTACCTAGTTTCTCATTCCATTTGGATCTTGTCTGTGGTCTGTTGTGCTTGGAGTCAGCTGCAGCATCTCTGTCCACTGAGTAACGCAAGCCTACATGTACTGTGTCCCCTGCCTTCAACACTCTTCACCAGGTGTTTGGAGGGCTGGCTGCCAGATGTACCACATAGGACACACCTTTTCTTGATCATAAGTTACAATAGCTCTCTACTGCAGCCCAGCCAAACCCTGAGCTCACTTTCTTTAATCAATCAATCAATTAATTAATTAATTTTTTCTGTGTCAGTTGTCAGCAGTGCTTCCCATTTGTTGCTGTCTCCTCTGAACGCAGTTCCAGGAGGGTAGGGATGCTATATGTGGTAAGTTCTGGTGTTGAGTGAAGCTTTTTGGTTAAATGAGTGAGTGCATCCCCCCTCCCCTGCCCCAGACAGACACACACCTACATCTCCTCCTGCTGGCAGTTTCAACACCAAATACTCTGGGCTTAACACAAAGACATTCCACAGCCTTTCTGTATCCCCAGTCCTGCCCTGGGACACTGCTAGCCAGACATCACCATTCTCCCATCCCAACAGAATCCACACATACCTGCAGATTCATTCCTATGTACCCAGCCTCCACCCTCCTCCCCGCTCAGTATAGCCTGAGACCCAGACAGACACTCACATACAGACTTCGCCTTCCACTGAGAGCAACCAACAGATGCTTGGGGAGCTAAGACCTCCACAGGGCTGCCATGGGAATGCCTTTCCATATCTGTTGTCTCTGGTGTTCCCCATCACCACTACCAGAGCATTCCCACTACTCCTGAGTCCTGCATGTCTGCTGCTGTGACACCCTGGAACACTTGGGCCTAGGCTGAAGACCAAGCCAGAGAGCTTAAAATGTTCATCCTCAAAGTCTCTTCCACATAGGTAGTATTCTAGAGGCCAAAGGGCAGTGTGTGACTGTGGGGGATGTAGGGAGTTACATGTAAGTTTCTGAGGAGGGTGGTAGGGGAAAGGAGGGTAGGTACAGATTAGACCCGCAGATACACATACACACTACATGCCACTGGAGGGACAGATCACAGAGGAATGAAAGCCTCAAGCAGATGGCAGAGCCTGGGGCAGACAGACACAAAGCAGGGGCAGAAGCAAATGGGACGTTGTCAGCTTCTAGCCTGGTGCAGAGAATATGAAGCAGTGGAAATGAATTTAGCAAGGAAAGAAGACCAGTGTGAGATGGTTGCCTCTCTGCATAGCTCCCCAAACCAGGTTTCTTCAATCTACGGACCCTTCGAGTAGCCATGTCTGGTTTGATTGCTGACAGGCTGTACTGCCTGGGAGGGCTAGTCCCTGCAGGTTCCTCTCCTGTAGAGGGTGCTAACTGGGCACCAGGCACAGTTTGAACTGCAGGGTACCCTGCTCTTCATGAGATTTTCTTATCTGGCTCTAAATTAACATGATTTATGCTAGGGCATCTTGGTGAGGCCAGGAAAATTTTCGGAATCACCCCCTTTCCATTTGGGAGGAAAGGAAGCCTAACATTCCGCGATCCTGGCGTCAGAGGCTGGGGGAGGGGAGCTGTGCAGATGATGCAGAAGTGATGATCGGGTGCCATACCCTTTAACTCAAATCCAAGGTGCTCTGGCAGTGTAGAAGAGAGGAGAGTGTGGGGGCGGGGAGAGAATGAGAGAAGGGGCGGGTGGGAGAGAGAGAGAGAAAACATTGGTCAGAACTCTTCAGACACCGGGCAGCCAGCCTGTGAGATGAGAGCAGGTTAGTAGTGCCCCCTCCCGGCCTCCTGAGCTCCTTCCCTGGTCCCTAGTCCCTAAGAGCCCCAAGAAGGCAAGAGAGAGGCCATGTTAGAACTGACAGGCAGGGAAGGGCCCCTGGAGGTGAGCAGTGGAGTTAGTACCTGGTGAGAAGGCACGGGTGCAAGAGTCAGTTGGCAAAGTCCCCTAGGAGCAGAGGACCAATCTGGTGGGGTTCAAGGAAGAGTGCCCAATGCCCTCCTCCTGACTCTAACTCCAACCCTTCAGCATCCTCAGGCCCTCCTGAAGTCAGTTTGCCCTTACCCCTATCTCATTCTTGGGGGTCCTTTTCATCTGTTCAGAATGAATGTGTCATGTCTCTGGACGAGCCCCATGTCCCCGTCTTGTGCCAAGGCATAGCTGGCCTGGCAGAGCTCCTGGCAGTCTGAGTGCAGAGCTTTGATGTCGTAGGGGAGAAGGATGGGGAGAGGAGACCCCAGGAAGCAAGTCATTGCTCCACTTGATATCCCATATTCCTGGGCTCCCAGGATTGGGCTGTGGTACCCAAACCCTTCTCACTACTCAGGAGAGCATCTACAACTGAGAGCACAGAAAGAATGAGTTCATCTGTGGAGCATGCACACTTCTTACACTATGGACAAATTACAGTGTTGGAAGTGAGGTCATTACCTGAATGTGTGAGTTCAAGCCCTTGAAAGGTGGATGCTTACAACATTGAGAGGTTAAATAAGAGTCAGCTCTGGCAGTCACAGTCACCATTGTCCGGGACTCTGAGAGATGGCTGACCTATTTGGTCTCAGTGTCTCAGCTATGATGGGGGATCAAGCCTTGCCATGGGATCCTGGAAGGTCTGAAAACCTGACTGTGCTTCAGAACCATTCAGTCCAATGGGAGAAGATCTGGGTGGAAGCCCAGAAATCTTGGTGATGTTTTAAAGACTTGCCTTTCTTTTTCAGGCACAGCCTGTCCTGTTCTACAGACCCTGGTCTCTAACTTGCTATGTGGATGTGTTCTCTTCAAAGTGCCAGTACACAGAGGCAGATGTGAGCAGGCCTAGCCAACAGGAGGTTAAGACACGCATATGCCAGGGCCCCTGCTCACACCTGCCTGGGCACACTCCCTCCCTGACTTCCACATCAGTCACCCAGACCTGTCACTGGGCTTCTCATCTGTGGAAGAAGGGCACCCTGAGCATTACCTGCTCCAATTCTTTGTGCTTTCTGAAAGGGATTCTAGAGGGTTCTGTATTTGGAAAAGAGCAGGAGTGTGGGTGGCTCTGAGCAAAGACCAAGAAGGTCCTGATCCCAAGAATCTTGAGGAAGATCCTGGGGTTTTGATCCAACCAGTTCTGTGCAGAAGCCACATCAAGGAAGTGCTGATCCCAGGACTTCAAACACAAGCCCTCTGCAGTTCTGCTACTCTGAAGCTGGGGAGGTGTTGAGGATTTGGCTTCTTTTCATTTTGCCCTGACTGCTTGGATCCCTAATTGCAGCTCAGGGTCCTCTTTGGCTGGATCAAAGGGTCACAGAGAGGTTCTCATCCTGGAGCCTAGGACTTGGAAGCACTTGGGAGCACATTACTGATGTCCAGCCACGCTCCCCAAGGGACAGCAGACCAGTTCCACCAGGTTCTAAGTGCTGGTCCTCAGCTCACTTTCAGACAAAGTTGGTGAAGTCTAAGGGTCAGCTGGCACCCTGTAGTGCCATGGTACTTTCTCAGGTGATGCAGGAAATCAGGAGGGTGACTGAAAGGGATCACAAATCTAAGCTATGGCTATTCCTGCTCAGCCTTGCCTGACTATTTCTGAGGATGATGGCCACCTGGAGAAGCAAATCTCTCAAAGCCCTCTGAGAATGTTCTTCCAGGTCACTGCTCTGGGAACCAAACTGTCAACAGCAGCTCCCTGGTGTCATGGTAGGGTGAGCCAGTGGCAGCTGGCATGATTGGTGAAGCCACTGAGAGTTTGGCTAGTCACTAGGTCGATGACTTTCTTCCTGGGAAGCCCGAGGGCAGATGCCGAGGGATCTACAGTTGTGTGTTGCAGTTAGGACAGCAACTGCCTACTTGTGTTTTTTTTTTTTTTTTTTAATGGAACTCAGGATGGTGTGGTACCACTGAGCCTCAGACCAGAAATGTTCATATTGATCAGTAAATTGGATGTCGGATTTCCACCACCAGGGCCAGGCTTCTTAGGAAATATGCAGATTTATTGTCTTGACATAATCAATGGCAGTCATAAGGTGCCTGGAGGAGGAGACAGTGATGTATGTATGTGCTGATGTGAGCATGCGTTCCTGTGTTGGCATGCGTGTGCGTGTGTGGTCATACACATGTGGGATACAGATGGGCCAGCTTTCCCTTTCAGGAGGGCACGGCCAGTAATGGAAGAAACTTCAAAGTGCTATCGGGGTCAAAGTGCTACTGGGGTCAAAATCTTGCTTGGTTTTGAGGTGGTCTGGGTAGGTGGCAGGGTCAGACGCTTTGCTCAGCAATGCGGGGAGGCATCCTCTAAGACTAGTCCTCTTCCTGCCCTCCTCCCCGCCATTTAGCCGGGAGAGATACTACAGTGCCCTCAGGTGATAATGGCAGGCTCTCGGATGAGCCCCTCACATGCATCAGTTCATTTAATTTTCACTGCTGCGTCTAGGCCTAGATGTCGCTATCCTCAGTCTACAGACGAGAGAACAAATCCAGAACACTTAAATAAGGCCCAGGACTAGGGATCTAGGTACCGGCCCTTCTGGATGGGCAGCTGAGGGCTTCAGGGGACTCAGGATGGTGGGTGTCTTTGTGCTCGTTATGGACTAAAGCATCATAAAGGCCTTCAGGGAACATGCTTGAAGAACAGGAATCTTCCACATAAAGGCACCTGTATAGTACTGATGATACAGGCAGAAAGCTGGGGACTGTAGCTGTAGGTTTTCTTTTGGGCTCTGAGGGTCCTGTTGACTTTCCCAGAAGATATAGGCTAGGCTGACGTGATCTAGCTGGCCAAGGGGCTTTGCATAGTAGCCCACGTTCTGGAGGCTCTGTTGCTCTCTAAGCTAGGGCTGGCTGGGACTGCCTGTCCAGAACAGTTTCCCAAGCTGTGGAGGCTCTTAGCCAAGAGCGGAAAGGAACAGCCCCCCACTGCCTCTCTCAGCAGGCTCATCCTTGCCTGTCTGCTCTGGCTTCTCCTGGAGACTTAGAAGCCTCTTCCCCTGCCCCAGAGCTTTCCACATAGGCTGTATCTGATTTTGAAATTCTCCCAGGGCTTGAGTTTTAGTGAATTCTTTTGGTCTACATGTCTTGCTCATACATTCTGTCTTTATTCCCTCTTCCCCGTGGCCTGTGACTGGAGGGTCTGGAGGGAACCCTGCCTGTCTCATGTTATAGACGGAGGTGATTCTTTGGGTCAACAGCCCTCACCTTCTGGGGCCCAAATGCTCCTTCTAAAGGCAGTAGATAGATTTCTTGGCTTTGTCTGGGGTCTGAGAACAATTGTAAGCTTTGCTTTTCCACCATAAGACCCGAACTCTAAAACTCTTTTTCTGACCTGCTGCCTAGTACCTGCTGGGTTTGCCTTTGGTAATTTTATGGATTTTTCCTTCCCAACACCCAAGTGTCATCTGGGTTCTCTGGTTCCTTACTGTTCGCAGGACCCAGATGTCCTCCCTAAAAAAAAGGAGGGTACTAGTCTGCTCTGCAGAATAGGATGGGTAACGTGGTTCTGGTCTCGAAGGCCAGCAGACCACAGGGCTCCAAACCAAGGCTGTGACTATCTGGAGGCTAATTGCTCCGTCCACCCCACCTGGTGGTTCCTGAAGGAACTGCTCCTGGGAGCCAAGGAAAAGAAGCCTCTATTCTAAGCCAAATTTCTCCCGGTGTGGAAGAAAGAAAGGAGAGGGGATCCTGGATAGTGTTCAGACTAGACAGGTTTTGGGAAGAGTCACCAGATTCCCCTTGAGTCTGTTAGCCTCTGCGGCAGACCTCAGTTCACTTCATCCTGTAACCATACAAATATCTCTGGTATCCATGGGAACCGTTGCTAGGGCTGCTCTCTTCCACTCTGCCCTCCGCCTTGGTCCTTGAACCCCAACACAGACCATTCTGGCCAGACCAGAAGACAGGCGTTTGAGACCTTTTCTCTTCTCTCAAACCTACCCGTAGAAACATGCACACACTCACTGCCTGGCCCATCAGCAGCCTGGCACCAGAGGTAGGGGAGGGCCCTGCAAATGCCTCTTCCTCCATCGGGCAGGCTGCCTGATCCCAGAAGAGAGGAGAGGCCTGGACATGGCCCTGCTGCTGCAGAGAGTTCAGCTTTACTACTCTCAGGTGATACAGGTGACTTATGGGGGTGGGCGGGGAGACAGGGGTGTATGGTCTCCTCTGCAGAGGCTACTGGTAAGCACTGAGGACTGAGAGGAGCTCAGGACACCCCTGTTCCCTCCAAGTCTTGATAAGTAAGGTCCCCATCCCTCCCACATGGGGAGACTGCCAGTCACCAGGGAAGAAAAGAAATAGAAGAAAGAAACATACTGGAGAAGTTGACCATTGCGAACTGCTGACACCTGTCCCCGGTGTATCCCACAGGACACCTACCAAAAGAAAGAAAACCAGAAAGAGAGAGCCAGGATAGCAAGACACAGGCATTGCAACACCCCGGCACAGGCTCCTGCCAATGCCAGCTAGGTTCCTCGCCACGGTTACCATTTGTCCTGGCCTTGTCGCTCTGCCCCTTACCTGCAGCCCTGAACTTTAAACCCAAGGATTAGGCCAAAAAATGAAAAACAAAGCAAAACAAAAACAAAACAAAAGAACTAACAAACCAAAGTACAAAAAAGAAAAGAGAAACAAAACATAACAGCCGGAGATCAAAACAACCAACACCCCTGACCCTACGCCCTGCACTGGGGACTGCACCCGGCGCTTTCTAAGGAGCGGGGACTTGTGTTTGTATCTTCAAACATACTTTGCTTAGGATCTGGCATGTACAATCGCAAAGGCAGTTTCTCCAAACATCTCTGTCCGAAGAATCCGTTTGGACATCTGGAGAAGGAAAAGGGGAAAAATCACAGAACAAACTGGCATCATCCACGAGGCTAAGGTTAGAAATCAAAGTGCGCAGTGATGAATGAGAAAACCAAGTCAGGCACTTGGGGTCACACTCGTAGCTGAAGGGGCTGGAGTCGGGGGGCTGGGTGGAGGGCTCTGTCCTCTCTAACAAACGCTCTAATCCATGTGGCTCTGTTGGGGATGGGGCAGGTGGGGTGGGACAGGAAGGAGGATGAATTAGGGAAGTTGGGTGGGGGAAGGTGGGAGGGGGTTATTGACTAACTGTCCTACTGGTTGGGGAATTTTCCTTCTTACCTGCCTGGTGCCCCAGGAAGCCAGAACTGTAGCCTCGGGGTGCCAGACAGCCAGAGTTATGGGATACAAATTTCTGGTGTCACTCCTTGAGGCTCTGCTGAAGGATTCTCTCTGGGACTCTGGGCAGGTTTCCTCCTCTATGGAACATCTTCCAGAAGACTCAAAGTAAAATCCTGCTAGGCTGTTCTCACACCGTGTGCTCATGACCAAAGGGACTTAGGAAGTATTTGATCTGTTCTCTCAAAGAGATCTGTGTGCTAGTATGTGTGGGAAATCCATCCCCCGGGGCTCCTGTAGAGTGGTAGTCTCCATTAGCATAGGGAGGGTCATGAAAAGCTTTGTAGGAGATAATAACTGAACTCTACAAACTTATCTGACCAAGGAAGCTTTGTTTGTGGATTTGGAGACAGGGTCTCGTGCTGTAGCTCTGGCTGGCCTGGAACAGAAGGCACTTTTTAGGGAAACCCTTGCAGGGCACAATTTGGAGAAGTTGCCTTAAAGCAGTAGATGTGGGGAAGGGGGAAGCTGGAGAGAGGTGCAATTGCCAGTGTGCCAAAGCTGCCTTCCAGATACCTGGTGTGGGGGAGGTTGGAGCAGCCTAACGGGGGGACCCTGGAGATCTGTTCTGTACAGCAGCTGGCTAGAAGCTAGCCGGGGCTCGCCTGCCTTTTCCTTGGGACCTGTTCTTCCACTGTGGCCTGGCTTTGGCCTAGATCTCCTTAGCTTGCCTTCCTTGCCACTCCAAGACACCACCCATCCACCCCCTCCTCCCTGACCTTGTCATGCCTGCAAGATACACTTCCTTCTGTTCTCTGGCTGCCACCTCTCCCCTTAAGCAAGTCCCAGTTTCATAGATTTCTAGGAGACATGCCCAGTCCTGTACTCTCTCCTGAACCCCAGGAAGGCCAGTTACCTAGGGAGAAACCCACAGACGGGGCTGTACTGACCCTTGTGCATGTCTCTCTTCAGAAACAGGTCTCTGTCGCCCTGCTCTGCATTCCCCTAGGAGCTAGGGAAACCCTATTAGCAGTAACCCCTCAGTACCAGGTTACTGTGCAACCTTAGTCAGCCTAGACTTCCTCAGGAGGCAAGGATTCTCTGCCTTAGCCTTTTACTGTACCTAACAAGAGGGCCCTTGGTCTTCGGGTGGATGCTAGCCATTGGCTATGACAGATAATCATGACAACTCTGTGGCCTCTAATCTGGAGGAATGGGGAATTGGAGTGGCAGGTGGACACAAAGCTGGACTGTCTCGGGCCTGTGGTATCTCCCCGGGTTGGGGAAGGAGGGAGAGCTGGACATTGTCATGGTGGAGCATGGGTGCGCATGTGCCTGGTCACTTGGAGGTCTGGCTGGGAAGTCCGACTACGAGGGCTAGGCAACAGCAATGTATATTTACCCTGTTGAAAAGGGTGGCTTAGGGGAGGAGCCCCTCTTCAATCCCTCAGATCCCTGACACTTGTCCCTAGTCATTTTAGCCCAGGAAGATGGAGGAAGTGGCTGAGGCTTCCCAACTGACCACAGCCAGGCTCAGCTCTGCTTCCTTTTCTCCTGGGCCCACTATGTGGGGAATGGGATTAGAAGCAGCAAAGTGATTCTTTTTTAAACTGAAGCACTTTTGGGAGTAAAGGATAAAGACCCAGAAGTTGTCAAAATGACTCTTGGATTCTACAAAGTAACAGAAAAGGACCAGACTTGACCATGTTCATTGTCTGCCACTAGCTGGACTCTGAGAGCCAGGGAAATCAGTGTATACAAATGTATGGTGTGTGTGTGTGTGAACAGTGGAGTGCAGGGGTAGAAAGGGACAAAGAGGAACTTATTTGACATTAGGGCTGCTGTTCCATGAGTCTTGGAGACCAGTGATAACTATAAACACACCGCTGTGTCCCTGTCCCATACTCAGCCTGGAGTAGTCTGACTGTCTGCACAATTCCAGGTGGCACCATTGACTGGTCCACAACACGAATGTGCTATGGTATTTGTGCAAGGTTCTGGTGCTAGCCTTGCACCTGACTGGGAGATGGGTGCTCCTCCTTGCTGGATAAAGACAAGGCCTTGGGGGATAGGGTGGTCAGGATGGGGAAGGACTGATAGCCAGTGCTATCCTTTGGGGGCACTCGCTCCTTTAGGGGCTCCTGGATACCCCCACTCCTCTCTGTAGTTCTGTGTGTGGAGACTCAAGCTTCTTTAGAGAAGGTTCTAGGTGTTGAGCAGGGCCTTTGACCTTCCTGCCCTGCAGCCAGACCAGGGTAGCAGGAGTCAGCTGCTTCCCCTTATCAACATGATAGGAGCCTGTACTGGGTGTGAGTGGCTGGCTGGTGACTGGCTAGTGGCTCCCACTCAAACAGGGATGACCCTGTGAAGTTCAGGGAAACGGGGTGGGCTGGAAGGGGCGGCAGGCCACAGCCTTCCTAGACCTTCCTATAGGCATCAGCTCTGGCTCTGAGAAGGTCTGAACCCGGGGCTGGAGAAGAGCAGGGGTGAGAGAAGGGCAGAGAGGAGAGCCCATGGGCTGCATCTGGGGTGGCAGAGAGGTCAGGACCTCTGCTGTCCCCGTTCCCCACCCACCTCCCGGGCCTCAGTTTCTCCTTTTGGTAGCCTGGGGATAATGCCATGTGTGCTGCCCTCACCTGGGGAAGGAAGGATGAAGGATGAGGCCGTGCCCCAGGCGCTGGAGGGAGCCAGGGTCTCGGAGCTCACGAGGGTGGGTGGAGATGTAGTGAGGATGAGCAGGCAGATGGGGTGGGATGGGGTGGGAAAGCCGGGGGAGGGGGGAGATGAGCTGATGGGAGAGGGAGGCATGCCACTGGTATGTGCACAGGGCTGGAAAGAGAGTCTTGTTCTGTCATCATCCCCTGAACCAGTCCCCAAGAGTCACGCACCAACCGTGCTCAACAAACACACGGAGAGAAGAGGAGAAAACGGCAAGAGGAAGTGAGGAGGTCCCTGTCCGGCCCAGACGGGACCGTCACCTTGATTTAGACCCCCACTTTCAAGTCCCCTTAAGTTTTCTTTTTGAAAACAAAATTCAATATCAGTGACATTGTTTCTTTTGGCACTGACTTCCAGAAAAAAAAAAACAAGAGGGTTAGGAGTGTGCCTGCCTGCTTTCCAACACTCCCTGGGGGGCTCTGAACCAATACACAGCAACAAGTGTAAGAAAACCAGGAAGGAAAACTGAGTTTTATAGAAACTGGAATGAAACTGACCAGTGTAGTTTCATTATCCAAGCTAAGCGGAAATGCAAAAAAATCAAAATAAAAAGTAAACAAACAGCACAAATGGTAGACGTGAGTCCCATTTCCTAAAGTCTTTCCTTTGTTCTCCATCCAGGTGGTATCAGAAATCCCAAGAGGCCTGCCCCCCTTCCCACCCAGTTTCCCACCCTCAGAGTGGCCTCTGGGCTCTGCCCGGCCCCCTCCCCCCTGCCCTTCTCCAGCACAGCTCCAAGACTGCAGGCCCAGCCAGGGATGTCCCTTGCATGTGACAAAGAGGTTCAGGGAAGTGGGTTATGGAGCCTTGACTGGGGCTGACCCAGAGGGGCAAAGATGGGAAGTAGTGGCTCTGGGTGCCATTATCACATTTGAAACCCAGTTGGCCTGGGTCGGGGGAGGAAACAGGGCACCCTCGTGTTCATTAAGGCTCAGACGCCTCTCCCTGCTCCTTTCCAATGTAGCAGGGCCTATCCCCTGGCTCCTAGGGACACAGTCATGTTGGTAGGTTCCCCTGGGAGCCATCGTCTTCTCCTTCCCTTTCTTACACTGCACTCCATCCTGGAACCTGGGTTCTGGGGACCTACCAAAGTAGGTATCCTTGTGCCTGTCTTGGGGTGCAGAACCTTTCCTGCCTGCAGCCAGGGCTAACTTCAGTGACAAGGCTGGATTCTTTGGAGGGTCAGGGGTCCAAGGGTTAGGGAAGAGGAAGGCCTGGTGTGGTAGAGGGGAAAGGGAGTCAGGGCTGGGACGTCTCTGTGAGGCATGCTGGGATCTTTGTGAGTCTCTATAGTCTGTTCCAAAGAGCTCAAAGCTTTTGTAAGGCTGGGATGTTTCCCTGGGCCTGAACTGCGGTTATGGCTGCCTCTTAGAAGCCAAGGCCAGGCCTTGAACTTCCCTGGAGAACCTTTTGTTGCTCTTGGAACTTCCCTGAGGGGTTCAGGAGGAAGGAGGGTGGAGAGGGGGTGACAGCAGGTGAAGGGTGGGACCATGGAGGAAGTCAGTGAGGAGGCCAGCTGGGGCCAGGCCCACAGTTCTGTCTGGCAGTGCCACCAAGCTCTCTTGTCCCATGGGAGAGTGGGAGGAGACAGGACACTGGGACCCTATCAGCTGTAGAGGGATCTCTAAAAGTCCCAGCCTCTTCTCCAGGGTCACATTCTTAGAAAGGCCAAACCTGTGGGGGCACAAGATCTGGCCTGGGTGGTCGGAAGTAGGAGACCCTGGAGTTCTCTCAGGAGGTCGAGACCCTCTTTCTGATCTAGCAATACTTTGCTGGCCTTTGTCCAGATGCCATGGGAATGGGACAGCTTTGGCACCTAGTCTGGGGCCCTTGGCACTGGCTGTTTTGAGAAACCCAAGTTGTTGAGCAGACCCCCTTCCTGTTCCTTCTTAAGATATGGCCAGAGTTTTGCTCATCACATTTGTGTTGCTCTCCACGCACACGCAGGAGGATTGCCCAGAAGACCTGCGGGGACTTCCTGGTGGCCTCATTCACACTTGTCCTGAGTGCTGCATGGGTAGTGGAACTCTGAGCTCCTTGGAGTTCCTGCTGGTGCCACCCTCACCTTCTCCATTGAGCCACTCCCGTGGTGGCATCCTTGCTGAGGTCCCTACCTTCCATAGAGATTTGAACGGGTTAAAATGGCACAAGCAGTTCTCAGGGCAGGATTGGCCACTGGGGGTCACCAGGGCGGGAAGAGCAGCCAGATCTGAGGCCGGCAGTGGGTTCTGGGGAGACCCCTATTTCCCCTAGATAACACAAGTAGGATCCACAGGTACCAAGGGCTCTGTAGCCTGTCTCCTGCCTTACTCTTCCAGGCTTCTTTCTACGGAAGAAGATGCAATTGGGACATGCTCACCCAGGACAAATTTGGAGAGTTGCTTAGAGATGGGGAAGAAAGACAAAATGGTGGAGAAAGAGGAGAGAGAGAGAGAGAGAGAGAGAGAGAGAGAGAGAGAGAGAGAGAACACCCAGTGCTTTAGACGGGTATCTCCACCTCCCTGCAGGGTGGTAAGAGATGGACATCGGGAGACAGGGCATTGAGAGCCTAGGAAACTGGGTCTGCAGGAGTCCATGCACCCCTTAGAACTCACATATCTCCAGAGTGCAGAAAGGACCCAAAAGTGGACAAACCACCCTGTCTGTGCCCCTTGGGGATCATTTCCAAGTAGCTGGAAGCTCACTTTTTCTAGAGCCCTCCACTTCTGCCCCAACATTTCCTCCCCTGCTCTCGGCCCTGTGCCCACCCCTGCAGGTCACTTACTTGCAGGAGAGCTGGTTGATGCCCTCGATGTAGTAGCACACGCCTCCATTCACACAGTAGGACTTGGCCGTCTCGTTGCACTTCCGGGCATGTCCCGACCACGATGATAGAGTGGTGCTCACTGGAGATACGAGAGACACGGGCTAGTGACCCACTGAGACCACCGCGGGGCCCAGGGGCCACTTCCTTCATGTTCTTTCATGTCAAAACTGGAAGGTCACTAGATCTGCAGGACGCCTGGGCAGGGAAGATCTAGGGGGAATCTCTTGGCAGGCAACAAGGCAAACGGGAAGGCATGCTGGACCGTCTGCCCAGTGACTCTGCATTCACACTCTTGGAAGACCCACAAAAGCCAGGCGGTTTCTCACTGTTTTGGAGGGGTGGAAGAGAAAGAAGAACTTCTCCATTGGAGGAAGCCCTGACCTCTGCCCCGTCCCTGTCTCCCTGCTGCGGGGTTCCACCATAGGACTAGATGTTGGTGTGAGAAATGGCTTAGGAGGGAGAAGCTGTATCCATCTGCTCTGCTCAGACTCTTATTGTGGACCTGGGAACTCAGGGAAATGACACCTTCCAGATACTGTCATTTTCTGAGCTCTGAGAAGGTGGCTGTGTATGTGGGGAGCAGGAGGAACTGGGCTTCCCCGCTCTTCCTTCTTGTTCCCAGGCCTGGGATGTTATAAAGGCCGCCATGTCTTGTCTCTAGAAATGTTCGGCGTCTCCTTCATGTTCCCCTCCTTGTCAGCTGTTGCCTGTGGCGGGAGCCTTCCAGACCTTTGACAGCCTAAACTATAAATCTTGAACTTCAGGGCGATGGAGTCAGAGAGGGACGGGGGCAGGGAACAGCTGTGGGGAGAAAGGCTGGGCTCTCAGGTTGCTAACCTGATGGATCAGGCTTGTCTGAAACAATGAAAAGAATGAATGTTCTGCTCCCTTATCAGGGGCATGGTGTCCAGAAAGCTGGCTTTAAATGCAAAAACCTCTTTTGTAAGGCACCCTGCACACTGACTTTCCAGGATGAGACACTAGGAGTCCCTGCTCTGAGGCTCTAAGGATCTCTGGCTCCTGCCCAGCGGTGGTCCCCTGACTGAATGTCTCACTCCACCTTGGCTACCCTTATCTCCTCTGGGGTGGCAGCCTCCATTGCTCCCATCGGCAATGGGGAGGAGGCGAGAGGAGGAGGATGGAGCAGGCAGGCGCTTGGCACCCTCAGTGTTTAGACATGTAGGGAGACAGATGGAGCGTGGGGGACTGGAGTGTACACACAGCACAGCCTCTGTATATGTCTGCAGGAGCTCGCAGATAAAACTCAGCGGGTAGGGCCAGCTCCCGCCTTCCTCTCCACCCCATCCCTGTTGCAGAGTTGGCATCTCAGGCCCCACCCACTCCTAAGGAGGGCTCCTCTAGGGCTCCACCACAAGCCCAGCTGGGACCCACATGCTGGCCAGAGAGAGAAAGCTTTGAACTGGCGTTTGCTCCACTTCTGGGTCACAGAGACCCAGGAAACTAAGAAAGGGACAGAGAACTAAGAGAAGAGACACAGTGCGGTGACCATGTCTGCAAGTTATAAAGTTCAACACTGGGCAGATTCAAGGGGTTGTCTTGCCCTTTGGTTACACCTCCAAGGAGGAGCGAGGAAAGAGAATGGCCAAGTCCCTCTCTAGAGCTGCAGCTGTGTATTCCTGCCAGATACCCTGTCCCTTGTGAAAGAGCACGTCAGCACCAGGGCTTGACGTGAGCAGATGAATGTGGACCGCAGCCTGGGGCCTCCCAGGGGCCTTGGCTAAGCCAGAGGAATCTTGGCCCGGATCTGCCAGGCCCAGCATGGCTCCTCTGCAGCAATGGTGGCAGAGACCTCCTGCTGCAGGTCCTCATTGTCATTCTGTGACTGCAGTGAACTGCAGTGGGGCTGCTGGGGTGACAGGGACCACTGGAGAGAAATGGGCCGCCAGCTGTGGTGCCCTGAGTCTGGGCTGCCAATACCATATCACGGGGCTGATGCCAGGGCTCAGAGAGGTGTCAGGGAATAGTGGTCACAGGCCTTTCCACCTCCTCTGCCATGGTAAGACCTACTCAAGCCACTCTGGCACAGCTGTCCTGGCAGGTCCCAAGGTAACAGGCTCTTAGCCCCTTGCCAGCACATCCGTATTTGCCACTGGTCTTTTGTATTTGGAGCTGCAAAGGTGGCAGGAATTCTAAGTGAGAAGGTTGCTCCCTTGCCCTCTCCACTGGGATGCTCACAGCAACCCCAAATCCAGTATGTCCAAAGTGGCCTCTCAGTGTCCCATCTCTTCCCTGTGCCCCGCAAGGTCCTAGAGAGCATCTTTCCTTTTCTCTTTGTTCTTTCCTGCCATGCATCCTCAAGGACTGACACTTCTTCCGTCGCCTCAAGAGGCTTGGTTCATGCCTCCGACTTCCTCCCCTGGTCCACGTCATTGTCACATCTTCCTGAGTGACCTACTTGCTGGTCCTGCCTCTCACACTTGCCCTCACTCCAGCGGCCACAGCAGTCTTTAGAATATGTGAATTATGCCAATCCCTCCGTTATCAGGGCTCTTTGGTGGTGTCCCTTGGTAGTTAGAACAAAGCCCTCCGCTTCCAGTAGGTCTTATCCAGGCCTCATCCCATTTCTGTCGTTTTTGTAAATCCTGTTCTCTCAGCATATTTTAACCACACTCATTTCAGCTTCCCAGGGCCCTTCAGACACCAGCGTCTCAGTGCAGCCTCTCCTGGCTTCTCAAGATGGTTACAGCCTTTACGTTCACTGCACAAGCTTCTGCTGGTGGTGATTAAGGAACGAAGTTTGCCGTCACTAGCTCCGAATCACTAGAACCCTAGCTCCTTGGGGGCATAGCCACCTGTCATGCTTCACTAAACTCCAACATCTAACCAAATGCTCAGCACAGAATAGGTGCTTAACATTGCTGACAGAATGAACAAACGCCTATCTGGTTCTTGAGGGGAATTACCCTCTGCTGCTTCCCTGAGCATAGGCTAGTGTCCTTCAGCCTGGGGAATGATACCCTTTCTCCTCTCTCTTGCAAATGTTGCTGAGAGGTTGTTAGGGATATGAAGTCAAAACCACAATGAGCGACCTCTTCATCCCTCTTAAGATGACTAGAATGTAGATCTGGAAGACAGCAAGTGGTAGAGAGGATACGGAGGAACCAGAACCCTGGGGCACCCCTGGTGGGAATGTACAGTGGTGTGGTTGCTTAGACATCTAGTCTGGGAGTTCTTTTTTGTTTGTTTGCTTCTTGAGACAGGGTTTTTCTGTGTAGCCCTGGCTATTGTGGAACTTGCTCTGTAGACCAAGTTGGCCTCAAACTCATAGTGATCCGCCCGCCTCTGCCTCCCTAGTGCTGGGATTAAAGGCATGCACCACCACCTCCCTGCCTCTGGGAGTTCTTTGAAAAAAAAAAAAGAAAAAAGTTAAATTCCCAGAGTTACCATACACTCAAGAAATTCCACTCATGGGTGTATCCTCAAGACTGAAAGCCTGCGTGCTTACAAACACCTGAACATGAATGTCCGCAGAAGCATTAATCATCAGCCTAGATGTGGAAGTGATCCAAATGATTCAACAATTCAAACTATTAAACGGGTGAATAAAAATGTAGTCCATTCACACACTAGATTATCACTTCACCATAAAAGAAATGCACTCCCCCATGCTCCAGCATGGATGGGCCTTAAGATATGGTAAGACCACTTACTATATGGTTATACTTGTACAAAATGTCTACTATAAATTAATCCACAGGGGGCAGAAAGCGAGAGTAGTAGTCGTGGGATGGGAAGAGAAGTGGGGGGTGACTGCTAACACACATGACGTGTCTGAGGTGATGATGAGAATGTTCTGAATTAGCAGGGATAGTTACATAAGCTGGTGACTATACTGAAAACCATTGAGTCACACTTTAAAAGGACAAATTTTATGGTATGCAAATTGCATCTAAAAAAACTAATTGAAAACATGACCAGAAGGGGAAAACCCAGGATGTAGTTGCCATGGGTGTCATGGTGCACATTGTCTCAGACCTTTGGAGGAAGGTGAGATGGGACAGAGGCTGTGCGGGAGCACCGATTGCCTCTCTGCTGTCCAGGCTGCAGCGCCCATCCTGCTTTTAGCACCGGCAGACTTCTGCCCCTCTTTAAGGTCCAGATCCATTGCCTTGAGCTATTCAGCTGTGCAGCTGTGTATTTCGCTGGGCTCAGGTGTTCATCCTCCCTCTACTTTGTTGGGAGAGGTGCAGGTTCTCAGGCCGAGGACTCTACCTTCCTGTCACTTGAAGTTCTATGTTGCTAACCAAGGCTGTGTCTTTCTGGAACTCAGAACGGGGTCAGGCTGAATACAACCCATGTGTTAGCGTGTTCATGTACAGATGTGTTCAACCAGCTACTCCCTTGCCCAGGGGCCTCTACCACATGCCTACACCTCATACCAAAGCTGCCTGCCCTGTGCTTAGTATCCTGGGTCAGTTCCCTTTCACTTGGGGCAGGGTTGCTGGTTTCTGTAAGGTAGAAGGGGATTGCACTATGCAGACTGTTTTGTTCCAAGCTCTGTCTATGTCTGTAGACTCCTTTTCCCTGTCAGCCCAGGGAGGCTGGAAGCTCCCTTGAGACCTAGAGCTGCCACTTCCGGAGGGCCTGCTCCAATCTGGGAAAGACAACTATGGCTCCACCCTAATGGAGGGGTAGGTAGCCATCCAAGAGTGGGATGATGCCCTTTGACGCCCTACCTTGCCCCTGTGGCCCTACTTCCCTGGGGCCTGGGCAGGGCCCCACCAACCCACCTTGGGATGAGTCATTGGGGGCAGGCTCAGCTGCCCGCTGCCCGCCCTCCACCCCCTCCTCAGGGTGTGGTTTCTGCAGATCTGCTGGGTTTCTCTGGTAAACACGGAATCCATGCACCTCTGCTTGGGAAATCAGCTATGGCCACATCTCTACATCAAGAGTCGTCTTGCTTGCTGTGGACTGGACACAGCAGTCAGGCAAAGAGATGTGTATGGTATATGTGAGGATGCATGGGAGTGTGTGGGCGAGGTGCACAGAGCAGCCTCAGCAGCAAGCTCAGAATCCCAGGAGTTCGGGAGAAGCTTAACACACATAACTCCGCCTAAGGGAGGAAAGCTGAACTTTAGGAAGGGAAGGCACTTGCATGGGACACAGAGCTGGAACCAGCGCAAATGTCAGAGCTCTTGCTCCTCCTGGGCCTCTGCTCTCACACCAGGCTGCAGGGGCAAGAGGCATTGAAGCCTGTGGGCTGCTGGAATTTCATCTCTGCATGAGATCCTATGCTCAGCCCAAAGGTGCACTACCTGCTTCTGAAGTTTATGGAAAACTGGCAAGGGGTAGGCTGAGGGGTCATTCATGTCTGTGATTGCAGCTTCCTGGTGAGTCAGACCCTCAAGACTCTGGCCCTGCGCAATGGCGAGGGCACAGCTGCGACGTTCTGCACAGGGACCCTTCCCGCTCCTTTTGTCTTACAAAGCGAGATATCTCGCTTTGTGTCCTACAAGGCCATCGCTCAGGGTGCTCTGCCTCTTTACTGCCCTTCTGCACACAGATAAGCCTGACAAAGATGGTGCCCCATCTACCTGAACATGTGTGCATGTGATCTCAGCAGGATGAATAAGAATATGTTCTCATACCCGCCCCAGGCGGATGCAGAGGTGGGGGCTGGCTGAGGTGGGACTCTCTGAGACAGGTGCCGTCTCTTTCTGCTTCACTCCCTAAACACGGGAGATGCTGCTTCATAGTAGAAAAGAAAGAAACCAACCCATTCCCAGTTCTTGAAACTTTTCTATCCGGAGCCGGCATGACCTTTGGACTTGCTAGTTTCATGAGCCAATAAATGGTTTCCTTAGGGTCAGTTCAGGTTGGATACTTGTCAGTTCTAACCCGAAGTCCTCATCAATAAAATGAGAAATGCAAAGTTCAAGACAGATCAGAGACCGCCTGCCCACTGCCACGGAGGTGGTAGGTGCTAAGCCCAGGGACATCCCACTGGAACAGCTAACTTGAGAGCCACTGGATCCAGGTACTTGCCTCTGTCACCATTTCCAGGACGAGACATGGAGGAGGCCACAAAGGCCCTGGAATAGCTCCCTCTTTCTTTTTTAAATTAAAAAATGATACTGAAAGCAGGATATGGTAGCTTTTATCCCCAGCACTTGGGAGGTAGAGGCAGGTGGATCTTTGGGAGTTCAAGGCCAGCCTAGTCTACACAGTGAGTTCCTAGACAGCCAGCACTATTCTCAACAAACAAACAAACAAACAACAACTACAAAGATATTGAAATTCAGGCCTTGTACACGCTAGGCAAGGGCTCTCCGCTGAACTACATTCCTAACCCTCGGTTGTAATTTCTTTAATATAACATTTACTGACTACCTACTGTGAGGTAGGCATTGTGCTAGGCCATGAGGCCAGGGCAGTAAACAGGCTCACAAGGGCCAAGACCAAGTTTACTAATGACCTTCTCACTGTAGAGCTCTATCAGTAGCAAGCTGTTAGACTTTGGGCAAAATACACAACCTCTCTGTGCCCCTCCCAAAGAAGAGTACACGAGACAATGTAGACAGAGTCTGGCTCAGCAAATCGTAGATGTGACCAGAATTCTCAGGGGCCAGCATCATCTTGTCCCTTCCCTGAGGCTCTTCCTGAGCTGGGAGGTCAAAGTACAGAACAAATTCAATAACAGTATAGGTGTCTGAGTCTGGAATTCAAGAGATGCCACCAAACCTTGGGGAGTAGCCAAGGGTCAAGGGGTAGCCTAGAACTGGGTTTGGACCCAGAGTAACACTGTAGGAGGTCAAGGAGGAAGGCTGCGGGGGAGGGAGGGTTGAAAGGGTACGGATGGGGACTGATGAAGAGTGAGCTCATCTGGGGATGACCTGATCTTGGGTTCAGATGGGAAAGGAGTAAGCACTTGTGTGGAGGTCCATGGGAAGGGTGTGGCTTCAAACAGGCACTTTAGAGGTCCCTTGCCTGTGAATTAGGGACAAAGTCTGAGCCACGGCTGCCCCTGAGATTGAGAACGGAGTGGAAGGGACAGATATGAGAAAGATCTAGAAAACATACTGCCCAGGATATGGAGACTCAGACTCCTGGTACATAGTGGCACGAGAGTCCGAGAAGCCTGAGGTGTCTCTGGTGAGCATAGGGCAGACAGGATCTGCTCTGGCTTGTGGCCTTGGCAATGCGGCAGGATCCCCTTTAAGTCAGCACTGGGTCTGGGGAGCACTTCAAGGCCGTGCAGTGGCAGTGTAGTCAGGGGGCAACATGCACAGGGTCAGATCCTATGCCAGAGGGGCAGGGCGTGGTGAAGAGCAAGCCCTACATGGTAGACTCAGTCTGTGGGTGCCCAGCTTAGGCAGGGAGGAGAGGGGACACTTTCTAGGCCAAATCTGGGCCTGACAACCCAACAGAAAGGGATTCTCTGTTGTGGCACTGGGCCAGACACTGTGAGCCAGCAAGCCAAACAGTTCCGAGGCCCTCTTCTGTAAGTCTTCAAAGTGGGCATACAGTCAGTGAGCTGGGTCTGTTATCCTTAAATGGAGGCTGCCCACAGGCCCCAGGTACTCAAGCCTCCCCAAGGCCTGGCTCAGGTGCCAACGATGCAGTTGGCAACAGACAGGCAGCTCACACCCACCCCAGGCCTGTCTCTCCCCAAGTCTTGCTCCTGACAACCCAGCCTCCCGTAATTGCCTTCTAAAAATATCCTTCCCCCCACCCCCACCTCTTGATTTCAAAATATTTAGTTTTCAGGGTATTTAAAATGAGAGCTGGCGGCTCTTCCAGGCCCAGATAACAAAACTAAACATTTATGCTTTGACTGCATTTCTCTGAATTGGCTGAGATCTTGGGGTTGATATGCAGCAGCAGGAGGGAGGGGAGTTGAGCGCAAGACAGATCATGTGCCGGTCTCCCATCGGCTCTGCCAACCCTCCACCTACCGCTGTTAACGTGGAGTCGGCCCCGCACGGTGTCCTTCCCAAGGATGTTCTCCGCCTCGCAGACATACTCCCCGGCATCCTCCACCTTCACTTTGTTGAACTGGAGTCGGGAGTTCTTTCTGGGTTTGGGAGAAGAAAGAGGGAGAGAGGTGTGAGCCAGGGCCGGTAGACCTTATCAGTGGTCACTGAGTGGTTGTTTCAAAGAACCACCATGGCTGTGTAGGCTGGGTGAGAAGAAGGGCCCTGAGGCCATTTTTTTTTTTTTCCTGGAGTGTAGGCGGTACACTGAGCCCTGGAGCTGGAGGAGACTTGAACCCTCAGGACAACACATTCAGCCAAAGCACACATGTTCTAACTCTGTGAATTCTCACATCTTTTTTCTCGGGGCTGGGTTTCTCTGAACCACTTCTTCTTGGGGGAAGAATGCCAGGCCTCTTAGGGAAATCACGTGGCCACATCTCTCATTCCCAGTGGCCTTTGCCATCCAGAGAAGTAGGAGATTGTCACTATTCAGTGTTATGGTTTGAATGTGTTTCCCAAAGTCCACTGGTCCCCACTGTAATGGTACTAGCAGGTCAAGAAGACACGTATAGAGAAGGCCCTCATACCCTTGAATTTGGAATTCCCTCTACAACTGTGGGCTAAACATCGCTACTGTTTATAAGTGAGCCCATCTGGATGCTCTGTTAGAGCAGCAGCATGCACTCCGACTCCCAGACAACAGGGAGAGCATCTATCTGATAGCTTCACGGCAACTGTACCAATCCAGGGTACCACTCCAAGTCTCTCTCCTACTGTTGACTCAGGCTTGCCATTGAGGGGCCCTCTGTAGCCTCCCCAAGAGGCTTTTGTTTAACTCCATCCTCAGATGTGTAACAACCTCTCAAATGCTGGAAACCGTGTACTCCAGGGTCTGGTGCCTCAGGGTCAATTAGGGTATTCTCTTCTAATGTACGGGCAAACTCAGTCTTAGAGGGCTCTTGGATTGCGGGTAGACACTCAGCAAGGCAGAGCAGAGGTGGATCAGGAGCTGAGGTCAGAGAACACACCAGAAGCTAGGGCTAGCCCCTTCCTCCAGTCTCTCACTTGAATGGTCTCAGGCAAGGTCCTAGCAGCCCCTCCTCCAAGCTGTGATTCCAGAGCATCTGGCTTCGTCTTTTTTTCTGAAATCCCAACTAAACCTTGCTTCCTCCTCAAGGCTTCCCTGCCTTGGAGTGTCTTGGTTCTGCAAGGCTCTGTTCCCAGCTCCCAAACCTACCGGCAACTGATGCTCTTTGGGGTCCAGGAAATGCTCAGGATAAAGCCAGGGACCCGAGATAGGACATAGTGTGACATGCTGTGACCGCCTCTTCTTTTTAGTGAGGGCTCAAAAACCAGATTGTGCACAGCTGGCTGGAGTGTGTGCGGGGTATAGCCAGGCTGCCACTGTCCTGCCTAAGCCCCAGGGACGCAAAAGCGAGCCATGATACTGCTGGGATAAGGATTGGTGTGGGGATGGGGACAGGATATGGGGAAGGAATGGGGGGAGCAGAAAGCACCCCCCTCTTGGCTTTGGAACTGGCCTCTTCTCAAGCATCTCATTCCCAGATTCCCATACGGTTGCTGCAGACTGATGGACCTTACTGTAATGGTGATGGCCTCGCCAATGTGATGACGGTGGCTTAACTATATGCCCTACCATTCCTGGCTCACGCTGGGTTTCTCCTTGGGCGCGTGCCTGCCCACAGCCCTCCTCTATCCACTAGTTTCCTTCATTAAGCAGAGCTCCCGAGGCCCCTCTGACTAAGCGAGTATCTGCCTCCCAGCTCAACCTAATTAGATAACCACAGAGTCCC